AATGTAGGTGACACATATACATTGTTCACAATCCCACAACAGTGTGTTTAAGGGCTTCTTGCCCATGTTATTTTGTCACCATTACATCAAACCCAAAACAAATTAGTTTGCCTTAGTGAAGTCTATGTTAACACAGTCCAGTGTAGAACAAAATAATCAGCCTCCTGGCTAGTTATAAGACCTTTCAGGTCAGCCTAGACCTGCAGGCTGTTCCAGCTCAGGCTGCATGCAGTCTCTCTCACTATCACACACCACCCATGGCTCAACCTATAGAAGGCTTATTTGCCCCAGGTGGGGAAAGAGTGCGGCCAGTGTTTAACGTACTGCATACTAAGCTGCTACAAAGCCCAATCAATACCTTGTCTCTTAAAAAACAACTCAGCCTAGGGGGCAGGTAATCCCAATACATGACTCTGTCCTGGACCCTGGGCTATTGGTTACATATTCACCCCCTCTGAACCTGTGGGTTTGAAAACCAGCTACCAAATAGTGGGCTCTAGAGAGACCATTTGGAATCTGTCAGGTGCTTAACCTCGAAAAAGAAATATTGGAAACTTTGAACCAACGGGTGACTCTTAGATTTCTGCCAAGACTATCTATTCTAGAGGAGCATGGTCTGTTATTAGTATAAAGCAATGTCCCAGTAGATAGTATTGCAAAACCTCCAGTGCCCACCTAATGGCCAGGCTCTCTTGCTCTACAATGCTGTAGTTCCTGTTGTCTAACGTCAGCTTTCAGCTCAAATATACAACCAGATGCTCTTCTCCAGTCACTACATGTGACAAAACAGCTCCCAGACCTACACTATCAGTCTGGACCAAGACTTATTTCTGAAAGTCTAGTTCTACCAGCGCTGGCTCTCGGCAAAGAGGTTGTTTCACACTCTGAAAGGATTTTTCTATATCAGGATCCTAGTAACTCAACAAAGCAATTTTATGTGTTCAGATTGGTCAGAGGTGCTATTAAGGTGGCATAATATGGAAGGAAAAGATCTATATTATCCTTCAATGCCCAGAACCTGCTTCTTGCTCAGGGGGGCAGGCCAATCCCTAATCACTTACATCTTCTGTATTTGCAGTTTTATCAGGCCTTGCCCTTCAAGTAACCAAGGTAGTGTGCCTCTTTCAGACCCACGGCACATTTATTTTGAACTGCTTGGAGTTCAGGACAGCCTGTACCCTGGGAGGATGACTTTTCTAGTAAGGGCTGAAAACCACTATATCATCTAGGTAAGCCACTGCAAAGTGCTGATGGGACCTAATCCATCATTCACTGAAATACAGTAGGAGCCCCTGCAGTCCAAAGGGCATTCAAACATACTGGAAAGAACCCTGTAGGGTATCAAATGCTGTCTTTCCTTTTGCCTCCTCCATTAGTGGCACCTGCCAATATCTCCCAGTAAAGTCAAGGGTGGTAATGAACCTTGCCAGACCCGCCCTCTCAATGAGCTCAACCTTGGCTTGGAATAGGCATTAAACTCTGATACCTCATTCAATTTTCTGAAGTTTTTGCAGAACCTCAATGAACCAAAAGGCTTGGGAACCGGGACTATTGGGCAACACTATTCAGTTTTGGCCTCCTCATTGACCCCAAGGTCTACCATTATCTGTATTTCCTCAGCTATGGCATGTCTGTAGGCCCTTGAAATACAATCAAGTTTAAGCCGAACCTAAACCTTGGGGTCTGTGATAATGTCATGTATAATTACATCTATGCAGCCTGGTAACTTTGAGATTATCTTTATTTCGCTGTTGAAACTCCCTCACCTCTTGTTGCTGAGCTATAGGCAGAGACTCAGCTATCTGAACCTCCTATATGCCTTCCTCTTTTTTTATTGGTTTAAGGTGAACCTTCTCTCTCTTTCCAGATTTGAATTAAATTTACATCATAGATGTGCTCCTCCTTCTGTCTGGTATACCTTGTAGTTTACCTCCCCAACCTGTTCATGTATTTTATAGTGTCCCTACCATTTAGCTAAGCACTTACTTTCTCTAGTGGGGATGAGAAAAAGTATGCAATACCCCAGGTGGAAAGTTTACAGCTTCATAGACCTATTCTATACTCATCTCTGGGCTTCTTGCTCCTCGTGCAGATGTTCCCAGACTATAAGAATTACCAAATCAATTCTGTCTTGAATGGCCAAGGTATGCTCTCTACACTCTTGTAGGGAGAAGTCGCACTCCTTTGCAATATCTAACCCTCAGGGTGATGGCCATGCAACAGCTAAAAGGGCAAAAACCTATAGGAAGACTATAGGACTTCTCTAATTGCAAACAGAGAAGGTAATAGGCAATCTCAACCACTCTCATCCTCGTTGACCACCTTCTTTAGCATACTTTTGGAGGTTTTATTAACCCTTTCTATCAACACGTATGATTGAGGGTGGTAGACTGAAGTATGCAATTGGCTAATGTTCAACAATTTGTAAAACTTTTTTATTACCTTTCAGACTTCCTTAGTGATGCCTATGAGGGCAAACACGTGGAACGACCCTCCGGTTATGATTTAGAGGAAGTGATCCTTATGAAAAAACTTAGAATACAGTGTACAGAACTCCATAACCACCAGAATTTACTGATGGCCTCTAGCGGACATAACCACTGACAGCTTGGGGTGCCTCAAGATTTTGCATACTTTTTAAGGGTGCCGTGAGTGAAAAAACATTGAGGAACACTGTTCTAGGGCATGCACCCTGAGGACCAAGACCGTGGGCCCGTATGATCAGGATCATATACATCCCTGCCCCGTTTCATTTGAGGCTCCATATACATCCCTGTCTGTCACATTTGAGGTTCCATATACATTCCTGCTCCCTACCACATATGCGGATCCCTATACATCCCTGCTCTCTATCATATATAAGGCTCCCTATATATCCCTGCTTCTTATCACATATGATGATCCCTATACATCCCTGCTTCCTATCACATGTGAGGATCCCTATACATCCCTGTCCCCTATCACATATAAGGCTCCTCATACATCCCTGCTTCCTATCACATGAGGCTCCCTTTACATCCCTGCTTCCTATCACATATGAGGATCCCTATACATCCCTGTCCACTATCACATATAAGGCTTCCTATACTCCCTGCTCCCCCTCACATATGAGGCTTCATATGCATCCTTGCTTCCTCTCTTTAGTACACACACTGAAGCCTCTTCTCCTCAATCGCTAGGAAAGACGCACACACATGACTCAATGCTGGTCGCTGTCCCTAGCACTTGCAGTTCGGCTTTCGCATACCCTGCTGTCACGTGACTAAGGCCTGTCTAGGGCGGCGGTCTCCATGGTAACGGTAGACGGCGAGATTGTATCCAGGGAAACGCGATGTCGCGAGAACAGCGGCCCGGAAGTAGGAAATGAGAGAGAGCCGTTTGGGCTGTCAGGATCATGCGGGGGGCGTGATACCGGTTACCTGGTACCGGGAGAGCAGGGGATGGAGAGGCCGGAGGCTGCCGGGCTCCTGAGGACCGGGGGAGGGCCGGAAACCCCGTGTAAGTGCAGCGACACAGGAAAGTCTGTGGAAGGGTTACCTGACTGGTTTATCAGAGGGGCTACATTACCATGGGGGGTTACCTATGGGGAAGTGGTTACTTTTCTATGGGGGGAGAGGGGAGGTCACCTGGCTGTGACTGAAGGAGTGTCACCTGACTGAATGTGTGAATTCACCTGGTTGTATGACTGGGGGACGGGGTGCTACTGGACTGTAATGGAGGGGTTCCCTGACAATGCCGCATTCGCAATTTTTGGTCAGGTGTGGTGCATTGGGCGGCCTATTCAAATGAATTGGCTGCCCTGAAGCAATGCATGTTAATATGTGAAGCAATGCATGTTGATGCACCACAGTGGGCCAGGCTGGAATGTGAATGATCCTATAACGTATGATGCGACAGCAGGATATAAACAGAAAGCTAATTATTATAGGTGTCCATTTTTATTTTTGCAGCCGTCCTACTTTAGAAACTGAGACAAAAGGGAACTAAACTTCAAAACTGAAGATTTTCTGTTATAGGGAAACTGTAGAATGCTGATTGCCCATATGCAGTGTGAGATCCCAGGCACTGCTGCCTCTGACTGTCTTGTGAGATGTGCTGATGTCACTAATGTGCAGCGCACTGTTCTCCTTGCCGGAAGCTCTGACATGAGGAAGCAAAGCCCTGCCTCTACCTTACCAAGATGGCGCTTGCCCTCAGTGGAGAACATTAAAACAGGGGAAATAATAGCTGCAGGAAGACCACAGACAAAACAAATGACAAAACCCCCCCCCCCCTCATTTTTTTAATGCAAGCAGTGTAAGTACCTGAAGTTCATCTGATTTTAGCCTCTTGCTGTCCCTGTAGAGAAGGGTTGTAGTGAAAAGAGCAGAAGTAGCAACGCAAGGAGCCAATCAGTTCATGTGCTGACAAGCAGCATGCCAATAGGAGAGGGCAAAGTGCAGAGAGATGAGCTGATTACTGTGCTGCTTCTTCTCCTTTCACTGTTCAGTCACAGGCTGCGGCGGGTCCAGGACGACCTGGGATCAGTGGAAGTGGGATGAACGATACTGGCCATCAGACTGAGGACATCTGTCGGCAGAAATTTGGTGAAAACCTCTGGAATGAAGGTGAATATTGCAACTAAAAGCTGGTTTTGACATTTTATTTATTTAATGGGCCATTTTTTGTAGTCTTGTTATTTTTTTCTGCTGGAGTTTTGCTTTAAAGCAAACATTTGCTTTGCTATCCATTAGAAAGCAAAAGGTTCCCAGTAGCACATACTTAACTTTCTTTGCTCCCCTATCCATCAATAGAGAAGAAACTACCCATTACTCCCTGGTATGAAGGAGCATGTGACTCACTCCATGTAACAGTGGTGATCGGCCCAGCCCTGTAATTTGGAGGGCAGAGAGTCACTGTTGTTTCAAACTGAACTCCAGCAAACACTCGCTGTTGAAACATACCTCCTCCCGTAGTAAAATAAAATGTGGCTAAATGCTCCCCATCTCAGCCACCTTCCAGATTAAATGATGGTCAATGTCATTCAACCGACTTGTTCTGAATCCAGGTTGTTACGGACATCACGCAGCCTGGCCTTGCAGTACACCTGGACTGATGTCACATACTGGAGACTGCAGGATAAAAGGTATGTGAAGGGTTTAAAAAAGATCCAAGGGGGACTTCAGGCACGGTGGTGATTCAAACTGGAGTTTGATTTGAAATGAACCTAAAAGGTGCCAATACACCTTACAATTATCGTACGATTTTCGTCTTCGTCTGCGATTGCATTTTCGTACGATAATCGCACAGTTGATGGGAAGTACACAACCGCAATTACTGTACAACCGTTCGACTTTTGTCTTTCCAGCAGGCTAGAAAACTTTTATCGGAATATACGAAATTAGATGGATTTGTGGCGTTTTCGTACGTAAAATGAGCAACAAGAATACTGCTCATGCGCAAACGAAAATCCGTTCTGTCAATCGACGAAATTCGGCAAGGTGATATTGCAAACGAACGCTAATTGAAACCCACAATGGTCTGTGCATGATGGGGCAGTTGTACGAAAGTCAAACGACGGTTCGATCATCGTACGTAAATAATCGTGCGATAATCGTAAGGTGTATGGGCACCTTAATGCTTTGTCCTGCATGTCTAAAACACAAGCTCACTTTTAACCCTTTTGCTGCTGGAGCTATTTTTTCATTTTGGGCACACATAGTAAAATGCACATTTTGTGCACGAAGACGCACTTTAATCCCCAAAACATTTATTTGCTTAAAGCCGAAGACCCTGTAAAATAAAATGGGGGTAGATGGAATTTGATATGTAAGGGGATATTTGCGATACTATTAATCAGAACTATATTTTAAGTTTTAAAAAAATACACTCAAACTAATGATATTATCCCAAATGGTTTTGGAAAATATAAAAGCTGAGGTTATGTCGAGTAAATGGATAGCAAATATGCAAAGCCTCAAAATTGTGAGGCGCAAAAAAAACTGCAGTACCCAAAATCGTCCGTAAGCAATGTTTTCAAAGCTTTTACAGCTCATCAATCTAAAGTTAACCATGAGTGGCGGCCCTAGAATTATTGCTGTCACTCGTGTGTACAGCAGTCCCTAATATGTGTGGCGCAATTGTCTTTTTCATATGCGTGTCCATCCAAGGCATGCGTTTACGTTCATAGGTGCGTGTGCAGGAGCCTTGTTTAATATTTTTGGAGGGTGTTTTTATTTTATACGCATTTGTTAAACTTTTTTTTAACTTAACGTTATTGCTGCTACAAGGGAGCGGATAAGTACTCTATGTATAGGTGACAAGTTCTCTTTAAGGAGATATCACCCTAAGGTCACATTCCTCTGTAGCCAGAAAGCACAAACTGTGCTTAATCAGCTTTTGCCAGAGCAGCCACTGTTTGACAGTTTCAGAACCTAAAATGGATGGATTATATGGATCTAACATAGATTGAAAGCATCTATGCTAATCTGACAAAGGTCTCCCTTCTGACACTGCCTATGGAGGTCCCAGGGACCCAGGAGGGACAGGTAAGACTGAGAGACATGGCCAAGGTGCTCAGGCAAGTCTGGTGGCACGTTTCCTAACATGTAGAAGTCGGGCAGCTTAACAGCCACTTCTACTACATAGCCAGCAGCTGGGAGTAAAAAGGCAAACAAACTCCCCACTGCTATAGTAACCAGGAGTTTGTTTTCATGCTGTCGCTGCTGATACCATATCAACTGGCGGCAAAAGTGTAAGCACAGGCAACTAAAAGGTGCACATCTCCCCAATTTTTTCCAATCGGGAATTACTGAATCTAACAATCGGCGTTTGCTGTATAGAGGAGAAAGCAGAGAGAAGAAAGCTCCAGTAAAGCTGGACATACACTGCTCTATTATTTTCGTTCAACCTGTGGGCTGAATGAAAAAAAATGGAGCAGATTCCTCCATCAACGCTGTTTCTATTGTATTCTGACCGTGGCTGCCCGCCACTGTCTGAATACTCGGACAGAGCCGGCAGCTCATTTTTGTACGAAGATTTTCCGACCAGCTCCTTAGATCAGCTGATCGAGAGATGCCGGCCGAAATGGTGCTTACAGTGGCATCCACTGTGCAAATTTTGGCTGGTTCCTCGAGAACCGGCCAAAATTCGCACAGTGTATGGCCACCTTAAGCTGTCCAACCACAGCCTTGACCAATCTATATTGTTTCAACAACAGCAGAGAAAAGCCAATGGTCAGGGATTTCAACAGAAATAATGTCTGGATTAGGAAACTGGTTTAACAGGATTACAAATTTTTTGGCAGGTAAGATAGCTCACAGATGTGTATTTAATAGGTTTATTTAACTGTGTGCCTACACTTCCGCTTGAAAGTGGCAATCCAGTAGCATAAAAATGAAACCTACATAATGCAAAATACTTAGGAAGCGCATTCCTTTTCTTTGCTAAGTGCTGGTGCCCTTTAACCCTTTAACTGCCAGAGCCATTTTTCCTTTTGTTTTTTTTGGGCGTGTTTTTTCTAAACATCAGCATTGTAATAGGAATACATACTATAGTTGTTTTTTTTTATAATGGAATCAAAAATTACTTGAAAAAGATCTCTTATGTAGCGAGTGCTGCCTTCTGTCTGCTTATCGCTTTCATCAACTTCCTGGATTCCCAGTGTGCTTTGCATCCCATTCCCTGGTGCTTGATGTAATGCAATCTCACTTTTTTGAGACTACATAGCCCATCATGCATTGCTTCCAGCAAGCAATGATAATGTTACATTGTTCATATGTCGAGTTGTAAATCAGAAGGCAGGCCCTGTAGTGACACAAGAAAATACATATTCACAGGGCTGAGTGAAATTGTATCAGTGCATTGAGGAAGTACATCCTATGGGCATCTTTAATAAGTAAGTTTACAAACTTCTAGATCGATACGATTATCAGGAGTGGTATAGAACTTATGGAAATTCAATATAGAAATACAGATGTATTTTTAGTTTTTGAGTATAGATACCCTTTAACCCCCACCCCCAATTTATATATTTTCTGAAAGCAGAGACCCTGTAGAAAAAATGGTGGCAATTTTTTATGTCACATTATAATAGCACAACTATTTATAAAAACCCAAATTTATTGTTCGCTGGGCACCCTCAATGTTGAGACTTGTCATGGATTTCCAAGGCACCCAGAATGGATAAGAGACCCAGGGATACGGGTGGTGGTGGGGGAGAGTACGTTATTGGACTCATGAAAGTGATCCCACAAAGGCAGAACCTGCACAAGTGTCACCCAAATCTCTGTTGCATTAAGCAATGAAAGACAGGCGGAATTGTGGGATTTAGAAGAGGGCGAAGAGCTTACCTTATGACTTTCAGCCTCAGAGAACAGAAACAAAGGGGTGGGAAGAATCCCAAACTTCAAGATATGTTTTTATTTGAAGAAAATGAATAACTGCTCCAAGCAATATACTCTATAGAGCAGATCCAAGTACAAAGAAAGGTCAAATTAGTTCAAGACCGACTTTACAGGGGTTTAGTGGAAATCAAAGGATGTTGTTTTTTCATGCACCAGTTCATGAAGAACATCGTACTCGGAGAATGGAAGGACCCAGAGAATAGGCTTATTTTTTCAAGAGCACGTTAAGTTCCCCAAATTTGACGCCTACCTTGCCAAGTTATCTAAAAAATCGGATTCATCCTTTTGAAGATAATTGAACAGGACAATGTATGTTTTGCTTTAAAAAGAAAAAAAAAAGGCACAGGAAGCGTTTGCTTCAGCATTTAAATCAACAGACCAATACCTGCATCGTCCGGAAAATTTCTGGATTTACAGCTTCAGGCACATCTATTCCAAACTTCTGAATAGACTGTTATGGAGTACATTCATCTAATCTCTAAAGTGGTGGTATTTATGGCTGATGCGGTACGCGAAGTTGACTGTACTACAACTCTGGTAAAGTCTATACACCAGGCGGTATGGCTCAAGGCCTGGGCATAAGTACAATGATAGAAACACTTTCAGAAGAATAACCGAAAGGCACAGCATGCAGATAAAAGAGAATCAAGAAGAAAATGAGCCTTTGGTAAGGGATATTGCTATTTAACCCTCCTGATACAGCTGCAAAACTCACTTGAGGCCCTGCAAGAGGTCAGTGGAAAAGGGCTCCTTACACCAATGGGAGCAGCAGTGCTCCAACCTCATCATCCTGAATCTAATCGGAGAAGGATACAATCTTAAATTGCTAAGTCCAGCCCCTCAGGGATACTTAATCACCAAGTTACCCTCAGACCTGACATTAGCCACAGCTATAAAACAATGTTTAGAAGAGCTCCTTTAACAACAGGTGATAGTAAGTGTGCTTGCAAACACATATGTATTGATGGTAACCTTAGGCATCAACAATGTCTGTCTGGATGTCCCTATCCATGCGGACCACCACCAGTTTCTGTGCTTTGGTGTAAAAGATTTGGAAGAAACATTTCCAGTTAAGGCACTCCCCTTTGGCCTGGCCTCTGTGCAGAGAAATTTCACACAGATAATGTCAGAAGTGATGTTTAAAGTAGGTAGATTGTGGCATGAACGTTCGTATGAAAAACAGTCAGAACGTTTGATACTGGCATCAGAAACTTGCAGATTCCCATTCAAAATTCCAGTTAATTTTCGCTTTTAGCATTCTATTTTGAAATGAATAGAGTTTCGAAAGGAAAACCACATTGAATGTTAGCAATTAGATCGAGAAACATTTTCCAACATGCTCCTTCGAATATTTTTGGGAACGTTGTTGTTTTCCTTAGTCAATTGCACTATACAAATTAACATTCAAAGGAACAATCTGAAAACGACTACTTTCTTGCGAAATTCGAACCGTGTATACCCCTACTTGAGTAACCAGGGGATCAGCATTGTTCTGTATCTAGATGATTTCCTGTTATTTGCATCATCACCAGGAGAGGTAATAAAGAATCTCCAACAAACCAAAGATCTGTTCCAAAACCTGGAAGGAAACCTGAACTAAGAAAAATTGGGTCTGCGTTCAAAGCGTAATGTGATCTTTCTAAGTTGGATTCAACTTAACAAAATAATTTCTTTTTGGAAGAGTAAATATTTAAGATTTCTGCCCTTACAAGATGGGCACGAAATGTCTATGCACTACCAACAATCAAAGCTATTTTAGGCAGCATGATGTCAGCCATCCCAGGGGGTGGTGTGGGATAAGGCTCATTCCCTGAAATGGTGGACTGAGAAGAGCCATCTCAGTCAAAGGAAATGATGGTGCTACACTACTACAGGTAAAAATCACCATGAATGCCAGCACCTAGGGCTGAAAAGCTCAATTAGGTAATGACACTGACCATGGCAGATGGCCACCTCTTTTTGCCCTACAGTCATCAAAGGACAGAGAACTTCAGAAAGTTGGGGAAGCACTCAGACATTTCAGACCCAGGTTTTTGCCAATACAGTACATCTGCTAGTACGGTTAGGATACTGTATCTAAATCACTGGGGAGGACCAGCTCTAAGACACTTCACAAGATAGTCAACTCCATCGCTTCTGACATCTTTATGAAAATTCTCGCCATCGAGGCCAGGCCAAAAGAGTGGAGTGCCTGGAACAGAAAACAATAAAAATCTAAAACCTTACCATCAAGTTGGAGTTTCTAGTCGCCATTACATCTGCCTGTAGGATAAACCGGATTCAGGCCCTTTCGGGGAAAGAATATTTCCATAATCTGTTTCAAAACAAGAGTTATTGTGAAGACCAATCCGGGTTTCCTGCCCAATGTGGTCATGAGTTTTGATAGGAATAAGAAATGACAGATGTCTTTCTGTCAACAGACGTCTACTCCCAAAAAAAGCCAAGTTTGCCGCCTTGGATGTTAGAAGATGCATGGCTCTAACACATCGATAGCACCTGGGCATTTAGAAAATCAGGTGCCCTGTTTTATTCTCTTCAGTGAGCCTAAGTGAGGAAATAAAGCATCTGTTGAGATAGAACTGTCTAGTGATAAGCACAACCTGCACAACAGTAATTTTGCACTGCCTCTCCATGTAAAGGGATGAAAAAGCAAGGGCTTTTGTTGAACAGTTCTGTAAAGCAGCCACACGGACCAGCATTAACACGTTTGTGAAGCACAGTCAGACCGACCTCCTGTCCAGCCAAAATCAAGCCTTCAGTAGAAAGGTGCTTCTTTTCAAAATCTAACATTTAAATGTGCATTGAATGTTTGTGGGTAAACCTCATTTAAGCAGGATGTAACTTCAGGATCTTCTAATGATTGATATTGTTAACACCTTTTGTTGGTAGGTTGCTCTTAATTCCAAAGTAGCCAGAAACAATGGAACTTTGGGCTTGTGATTAATGATATGAAGGTAACTAGGGTCTATAAAAGTGCTGGAAAAAAACCTATTTTATGGCTAATCCACTTGTTTGTAAATCCGGTGGAGTGATTTGCTGACATCTTTGTTTTATTTCTGATTTTATATTAAGGTAGGTTATCCATGAAAGACATTTCTCCAGCACTTTAATTGGCACCCTTTAACTTCATGTGGCGCACGTAGCACTTAAGAGCACCTGATGCACTTGTGAATGAGAAGTGACGCAGCTATAGTGGGTTTAAGTCAGAAGGCTAAAGTGATTAGCAACAAATTGATCCCTGGTGTATATTTTATCTTGTATTTCTGCAGCCTAATTCAACTAAAACCATTTACATTACATGGTCATTTTGGTCCAGTTGTACTAATTGAAAGCGGTATGATCTTAGCCAGAATTTCGCTTCAAGACCTTTTCTTCTTTTCCAGGTAAAGACAATGATGGATTTCCGGCCTCTTGTCCCAATTTTCTTTTCTACACAGTTTCCTGGCAACCCGTCAATCTGGTGATATGAAACTACTGCGCCCTCCCCTGCTACTCTGCATACGCCGGGGTGCTCGATGCCTGTAATCCCCATCCCCCGCCGTGTTCGTTCATTCCACGGCCCCCACACCACTTGTCTACATTCCGCCTGCGGACCGGTCCGGACCACAAACCTTGTGCGCACCAAGTACAACAACTTCGACATCTACCTAAAGTCCAGATGGATGTATGGATTCATCCGCTTCCTGCTGTATTTCAGCTGCAGCCTCTTCACTTCCATCCTCTGGGTGGCACTCTCGATCTTATTTTGCCTTCAATATTTTGGCATCCGAATTTTCCTACGCTTCCAGTACAAACTGTCCATCATCCTGCTGCTGCTAGGGCGGAGACGGTTCGACTTTAGCCTCTTGAACGAACTGCTTATTTATGGCATTCATGTAACCATGCTGCTTGTCGGTGGACTCGGCTGGTGTTTTATGGTGTTTATAGATATGTAAATAAATGCATGCCGATGAAGAACACTGCTCCTTGGCAGATGAAGTATGAGCTGTTCTTGTGTTTTTCTTTTATTTATTGATGCAAAAGTGTTCTTTTTTTGTAATAAATGCATGTAACAACACATCAGGAAGGCGGGCAGTAGTCTAGCTGGATACGTCAATAATTTAAAGTAATCCTTTCCTTTCGCTACAGCTTATAAACTGCCAACATAAATTAAAGGCAGGCATTCTCAGGTGCTTCTTCATACCTTGCTATAGCCTTCTGAACTTGGGGGGGCCTCCAACACTGCGGCACTTTAATTGGGAACTCTGAACTTTCCTGAGAAAATGAAGGAATTGCCCATCTCCACTCAGGATATCCTATTGGTTTGAAGTGATGAGCTGCCAGTGTCCAATAAGGTGTTGTGCTAGTGGACAGGCCAGCATGTAACTTTTTTAGAAAACTCAAGATTTGCATGTTAGAATGCCCCAGGGCTCCCAGACTGCAGTGTACATGCTAGCACTATATGTATGCCTGCATTTTATTTATGATGACAGTTTGGGTGCTCTAGGGAGTGGAAAGTCTTTCTGCTCTGTCTTTATTTTCTTCCTTTTTTTTCTTTACTTTTTTACATCTAAATCCAATAAAGTGTAGGTCTATCCGAAGGATGGTTACATAAACATGGGAAGAACCCAATCAGTGTTCCTACTACAAACATAACCTAGTCCTCCTTCAGACCCTACTCTGCTGATTTGCCAGCAGGCAGTGGGCAAGTGCAATAGTCACTCTGCTATTGGCTATTACAATAGCAGTCTTGCTATTGCACTCACCCACTGCCTACTGTCAATCCACAGAGGAGGGCCTGAAGGAGAACTTTTTCCTTCAGGTTCCTCCTCTGCTGATTGACAGCAAGCAGTGGGCGGGTGCAATAGCCAGCCTGCTATTGCAATTTGACGTCGCCAATAGCAGGCTGGCTATTGGGGGCTTGCAGAGTCATAGTCACATAGGTGTTGGCTGGCAGCTGGTCTCTCCTCCTTGCCTGGTGTCAGCTGCATAGGTTCTGTCCCCTTCGATTCCCACTCATGGTGGGGCGGGAGGTTTGGGGGAGCTCTCCTCACCGCTGGGCACCAGCTGCAGGGGTCTGTGTCCCCTCCGTTCTCTGCTGGGAGCAGCGGGGATCAGAGGGGACACAGAGCTGATGGAACACTATCACCTAGCGCGGAGGAGAGAACTAGGGGATCCGGACCAACTAATCAATAATGAGAATCATCAACTATTATTATTATCGATTAGTTGGTTGCAGCCCTACTACCTAGCAAGACACTTGCTTTTATCTAGTATGCAGAATGGAAGTTTTGATTTTTCAGACTTCATTTGCTGCATTCTTGTTCTAGGTTGTAGACCTGTTTTTAGTAATATCAGGGTTAGGATGACACATTCAGAGCCTGCATCTTTACATGCAGCAATAACGGCTATTTCTAACCTCACAGGTTCTTTTTGAGCACCATACGGCCTATAGCACTATGTTGTATTTCAGCATTCCTATTCTAGCACAAGTTATATTGTGAAATAAAATACCTCATCACTGTCTATTTTGCGTCTGCTGCATTTTCTATATGAGCTCAAATACAAGAACATTTTTGCTAGCATGTACGGTTTAACTGTGGTGATCTTTGCAAGCGTTGTACAGGTTTTTGCATATGTTTAAACCCATATAAATTGGACTATGTAGATACTGTAATTCATTGATTTTGATGAATGCACCAGGAAGGCTCTGTCTGCAGTCATTTGAGGGTTTACAGTTATTCGTGCACTTTGCTTATCTTTTGGACGATCACAATTGATTTTATTCTTTTCTATGATTCCCTAAAATGCTGTAGCGTTCAGTCAGTTCAGATAAACACTGTTTGCAGCTCAGTTAACCTCATTACGGAGAAAAACAACACATTCATCCACTGAGATGTATAAACTATTTAACTGCATTCTCTCATATATCTCATAATCATTTTTTCTTTTTTTAATCATCCAGTAAACATGGCACAGATGTGCAATCATTACATATAGTAAGCCTTTATTATTGGAATGGTTTTTATCTCCCTCTGGAATAGTCCCTTTTTCTGCTCTCCTCAATAGTATATTCAGCAGATCCACTCAATAAAACCTTTAGTTACCTGAAATTTTCAATGATAACAAAATAGCACAAAAGACTTGCAGGGTTATTCAATAAAGGGTGAAGAGTTTGGAGAAGTTAACAATCTAGGACAACATAGCTGAACTGGAGAGTGAGCTGAATTCGAGAATTTCTCCAAATCAGCTATGTTGTCCTAGATTGCTCCCTTCTCCGACCTTCTCCAAACTCTTCACCCTTTTGTGAATACCACTGATAGTAAAAAAAAAAAATGCTGCTTGCATTATGCTTTGGCAAACTGACCATTTTATGTTTGTGAGATGCTGTCTTTGCATTGCGTTTGACTTGGATGGGGAGAAAAGCAGTTGTGATGTAACAAATACCTCTGCACGAGTCCACTAAAGCCAACACCTTTTAGTCGTTTGGATAGAATAGGGAACAGTAATTAATCCTGCTTGTTTTTTTTTGCTTTCTGTGTCCTGTTGGAGAGATCTCCCAACATTTCCTATCACATCGACACAATAGAAAGTGAAAGGAAATCCCTTCTAACTTCCTACTGGTCAATGAGCCTGCCCATTACTAAGAAGCTTAGGAGACAGGAAGGTGTGTAATCCGTGCTTGACTTTTACAGAAAAAGTCAATCTTTGCATGTAATTTCCGCTGGCTACATCTCTGGATCTACTGATTGTTTTAGCATGCAGTTTTCATCCTATGATAAATGTGACTTTCTCCAGAGTGTGATATGTGTACTTCTAGGCCTGGGCACACACATGTTATTCTGTGAGCCTGGATTTAGAGATCAGGCAATTTGCACCTTAGTAGCGCTCCTGCTTCAGGAATGGAGACAACATTTTTATCAAGTTATGGAGATCTAAACAAGCCTGCCATCAGGAACTGTAGTGATAGAGATGTATTTATTTAGACCGGAGTTTTTTAATTTTGCAGATGGAAAATGTGTTTTGCAGTAAATGCCCTTCTCCACTGAGATCATCCACTTCTTCACTGCTCGGCTGTGCGATGAAGCCGAAACATATTACTTGTTGTAAAAAGACATTACTTGATATACTGAGATTGCATTTTAATTGCCCTGAACTTCAACAGGCGGCCGTTTTTTATGGAGTGTCCTCACACTGGCTAAAAACTGTGGGAAATGTGAGCTTGGTAATTAGATTTATGCATAAAGCTGCAATGCTGAATGTTTATGCTAAAGATCCGACTAGTCTTCAGTGTAAACTTGTCATAAGAGAAATATGTGGGATGCCACTGCTGACCTCCTGAAAATGCTAGTTGCTTGGCTTTTTTTACTCATGCGCTAAATTGCTGACCCATCATACGTATGTCAGGGAAGCCAAAGGAAAGTCAGGACTCTAAAGGTGCCCATACACTGTACGATTATCGTACGAGAATCCCGTGAAATCTCGCGATCGTACGATAATCGCAAAGTGTATGGAAGGCTTGTGACCGTTTCTACTGTACGATCGCACGTCGAACGAGCAGGCTGGAAAACCCGCCGAGAATCGTATGATTCTCGTCGGGTTAGTGGTGTGCTTGTTCGACAACTGCCGAACGGGCCGGTGTGGCACGTGGACACTGCCCGTTCAGCATTGCAGTCATCGGAAGCCCGCCCCTCAGCGGGACGGGCTTGCGATGATCGCAAGTACGATCTGCCTGTCCATGATGGGCAGATTGTATGGTTTTTTTCATTACTTTACAACCCTCGCAAGACAAAAGTCTTGCGAGGGTTGTAAAGTGTATGGCCACCTTAAGGGGTGAATGTACTAAGACTGGAGCAGCTGTGCATGGCAATTAATCAGCTTCTATCTTCAGTTTGTTCAGTAAAGCTTTGAAAGTAAAAGCTGGACGCTGATTGGTTGCCATGCACAGCTGCTCCAGATTTTGTCTGCTTTAGTTTTGATAACTTCGCCCCAGAAGGTTTAAAGGTTTTAATTGTTCCAGCATGACGATGGAAACTCATGCCAACAAAATAATGCCGGCTGCCATTACAGACTTCCTTCACAAAATGGCAGTAACCTGTCAGCCATGCCTCACTTTAGTACTTTCTAAGTCACTGAACTGGAGCGTGCATGCAGCCAATGAAGTCAGAATCCTTATTTGCATACATAATCAAGTTTAGCAAATCAGGAAGTATTAAGGATATAACATCGGTATAGATTTCCTTTAAGATGGGAACCTTAATGATCACTCAGTATAAATAATTGCTTCTACTTCCTGAGTGTGTGTGTGTTTTATATTGCGAATCTGCTTGGATCGGCCAGCTAAGCAGAGTGGCCATACAGAATTTGTTCTCGTTCAGCCCCCATGGATGGAGGAATCTCCATTGCTGGCTATTGTATGCTGTTCGCTATCACCCGCCTTTGTCAGAATACATGAATAGTGATTGGCTGCAGCCCACAATTTTTAGCCCAGGTCCTTCAACAAAAAAATTGACATTTGTTGACCAGAGGGATGCAAACAGGGCCCAAACTGCTCGAATGTCAGCACAACTTGGACCTAGTTCAAGCAGTATATGGCTAGTTTTAGGTTTATAGTGAAATTCTATCTTAGGCCAAGCACAACTAAAAGGATTCTGGTATGCTAACCCAAACTCTGGCACTGTTCCCCCAGCCTTGTAATCCAACATATCAGTACTGCTACTTATGTAGGTTAAATGACGCCCAGTGTGATACAACCCACTTGCTGTGAGCTCTGAGTGTCAAGTCTTCGCACAACAACCTGAGCTCACAGGAGAATGAGAGGGGTGCAGTGTAAGGCGGTGTGACTCTCTCCAGCATTTAGGATCAACCCACCACAACAGGGAGAGGAGGTTGAAGACATCAGGAATAAAAGGTATGTATATGGGTTTTATTTTTCAGAGGGTGCTCCA